ACACCAACACCAGTCGTACATATATATATATATATATATATAGAACACATCCCAAATGTATCTGTTTTTTTGTTCATAGTGTATATATATATATCTATCCATACCTGCAGCACTTGAACGTCCCAGTCAATCGCGATGGTTTCGTCCTCCAGCAAGTCGACAAAGTGGTCATTACATGGAATCGTCCATCCAAATGATCGGAGCAGCCACGGCGTCCTTGAGTCTGTGATACCTTTGCTTTCCACCCGTCGGAGCAGGAACGGCAGGTCTTGATGGCAGAATAACTCGTCAATGTGCTGTACAGGTCCGCAAATCGAATGCTGGCGCGGCGGTCCGCGGCGGGTCGAGTTGCTGGTGGTGGTGGTCGAATGGCGCTGCTTGAAGAACCGGTGGACGCGGTCCCACACCATCGCATACAAGGCGGCGCCGGTGGTCATTTCCGGACAGATGCGGACGAGGTCCGGCGTGCCAAACGGCAGCGGCCGGAACGGGTTCTTAAAGTACACTGGAGAGTACCCTAGCTTGCGTGAGATGACGGGGCAGTAGAGCAGCCGCGCCGGACGGGGCCTCACGCGGGTCTGCGATACGTTTTCTTCCACGTCCCCGTGTCGCAGCTGCACCGCACACGTGTCAGATGTCGTTGTTGTTAAGACCGTGCCAGCCACCCATTCGCCCTTGATTTGCACTTCCACCAACATGTGTGGATATAACGACGTGGGCGTTCGTCCCCGCGATGTGACCAGTTCGTCCGTGGCCACCACTTCGACTTCTTCATCTTCCTCCTCCATGTAGTCGTCGTCTCCAGGGCTTTCGTACGGAATCAGCGACGGCCGGCGGAACCTCGTCACATCTACCACGCGCGGCGCGAGTGGTTCCAGCTGGAATGCCATCAACCGGTCGATGCTTCGGATCTGGCCTAGCTTGCGGTTGTCGGCTTTGAACCCGACAATGTGCGCGCCAGCGTATTCGCAGATTTTGATATCTGCGACAGAGTGCAGCGGCAGCCCAAAGTCGGCGACGCACACGTCGACCAGCTGCTTTTTCAGCTCGACAATCGTCGCGTCGATGCTGAGGCGAAGGCTGAGCTTCTGCGGCATCATCCTCGAATCGGCAAACACAATGGGAATCGTCACGTTGTTATGGGTAGGCTCGGGCAGCGGCACTTGGAGAAACGTGAACGGTTCGAATCTGGCTGATTTGAACCCACAAGCGCTGCATGTAAGCAGCGATTTGTACTGACCAGTGAACAGCGCCACCACGATCGACACTTCGCGCTTGAGATGGTTGCGCCACCACTCGTCGGCCAAGTCGGAATCGTACCGGCCGTCGGAATCGGGCTGGGAAATGTATGGCTTGTCATGGATTCGGTTCAGGTCTTCGCTAAGCCCGCTTAGGAGAAACGCAATCAGCTCCTGGGCATCTTGCTGGTCATTGCCGCGAAATGCTTCGTTGAATTTGCCGATCGTTTTCTTAAACTCACGGGGGGACACGTGCTTGAACTTGGTGCTCCACAGGTCCTCGAGCAACTTGCCGTACACTTCGGCCAACTTGCCCTGCATCCCCAAAGTCGACGTGCGGTTGATGTCGTCCATGTACATCCCTGACAAAAAGTAGTCGACAAACAGGGGGGTGTTGACAATGCATTGCAAGGCAGAGTTCATGTAGCACGTGTTGCCGAGGTTGATCAGGCCCAAGGACCCGCCCCCGCGCATGCGCTTGTACTTGGACGCGGCGAGCGCCGTGGACGAGGCGTCGGTGGTCGAAGCCGCCGCGACGACATGGCCATCCATTGTTGCCGCATGCTGCCGCTCCGTACCCCACAAGTCGAGCGTCGCCCGCCCGTCACTCAACACGACCACAGTCTGCTTGATCTCGGGTCCGCCACCATACCATGCCTTGAGTGCCCGCCACAGCGGTTCGCACACAACGGCAAAGTGTTTGCCGGCGAGCATGTCATCTGTCGGGGCAAACTGTTTGTCTTTGAATAGCGCCATGTTGCCAATGTACTTGGGTCGAACGATGTTGTTGTCCGTGTCTACGATGGACGATGGCTTTGCGTCGATGGAAGATGGCCCCGATGAGGATGAGGATGGCGGCGGCGGAGGTGGCGGTGGTCCGTGTAGCTTGGCGGCGGCGGTGGCAGCGTCTAAGGCAGCCATGGAGCCGTCTATTTGCTTGATCTTGACTGGTTTGCGCAAGTTGGTAAAGGCCGTCATGCCGCCACCACCACCACCAGTTTCCCCCTTTCTCTTTGTCTCTGGGCTGGGCAACAGCAACGAATACGACGATGTCACTTGGGGTTTCGGAGGTGACCACGACAACGACGCCTTGAGCGACGACGTACTTGTATATGTTGTAGAAGCAGTCGTCGTCGTAGCTGTCCTCGCCTTGGGGTTGGGGTTGGCAAACGTGTCCAACACTGGGATAAACTCGACATATCGCCGCCAATGGTCAAACCAAACGGGGTCCACAATGAACCAATGGTCGCCCTGGACCAATGCCGACGGATCGTACGGTTGGTAGCACAGCCTCGCCACGTCGATTTCTTCGGCTTTGTTGGCTGGGATCAAGCCCAGCTTGGCAAATACCGTGCGTTTCATCATGTCGAGCGCCGCAACTTGAAAGTGATCGCGGGATGCTGCCCACTTTGTAAACAAGTCGAGCGTCCACCCGCCGCCGCCGCTGTCATCAGTGCTGCTAAGGACCAAGTCCACGTACATCCCAATCTGCGCAGTCGACACCACGGCCGTGTCACAGTCTGGAAAGTACGCGCGGATATGACCTTCCACGGGCGAATGCACCAACACTTCGAGCTGTAGCATCGCCACAAGGTCGTCTCGGGTCATCACCTCGGGGTTACCAGTGGATGAAAAGAGCCGAAACCCAAACCTGGCCTTGTCTTGCCAAGTGCCCCGACACGCAATATGCAATGCATGCACGAAGCTAAAGACGTCAATGTCGACGCCGTTGGCTCGAGGTCCGAACGAGGCAAACGCTGTCACAAGTCGGGCGTCCGACACTTGCAAGGCAAAGTCGGCGGCCAACAGTTCCAAATCGATTGCCGCCGTTCGATTGGTCGTGGATTGGCCTGTGGATGCGTGGTTGGTGGACGACGATGTCGCAGACGAAGAAGAAGATCGATACATGGCAAACGCGTCCTGGAGCATCGCAATCTCGGCCGCGCTGAACGCTGTCTCAGTTTCGAGTATCTTTTGCTGCACCACGGGGTTGTAGTCTTCCTGGAGCTCCAACAGCGATGGACTCGCTGTCTCACATAGAATGTGCATGAACGATGGCATCCAGTCGAGCACCAGCGCCACGTGGTCCAATGGCTGCGTCAGCATCGCATGTACGAACTCGTCCGCCGTGAGCCGCGACCGCCCATAATCAAACAGATCGTTCACCACACGTTTATACTCTGGCTTGTCAATCACGGGGCGGCCATACAAACTCACGAGCAAGTTGCTTAGGCCAGTGCTTTGCAGCTTCCCGAGGTGGTCGTGGTCGCACATATTGAACGAGAACAACAGCTGGTCGTCTGTGGAACCGTGTCGCAGAATCGCCACCGCCCGCACAAACTCGTCCACAGAGATTTCGTTGGACGACTTGTCACTAAACCCTTTCATGAACCGAATCGCAAACGTCGATGGCATGTCGGGGAAGACACTGAGCACATCGCGTCGGAACGCTGTCTTGGTCATGAGGTTGTTGTCGGCAGCAGAAGACGCGGCAGACGACGACGACGACGAGATGGACGACGACGACGTTGATGGACCACCGCCGCCGTCGGCATACGTCGACGCGTCGGCGGTGGGTCCCAAAGTAGGGGCCAACACCGCGGGCGACTTGGGGGAGTTTATGTTGCTATTGGTTGTAGCAGCTGTTGTAGTCGGTTGTGGAGTAGGCTGCTTGGACGACGGGGCGACAGACGCGATGGCGGTCGCTTTGGACGTACAGAGCCGCTGGAATGCGGCTTGGACGTCGGCGAGTTCATCCGGTGCAAGGAGGTTCTTCATGCGCTTCAAGTCGACTTCCTTTTGCTGGCGGCGCTTCTTGCGGTCATATGATTCCAGATGGGCGTACACCGCGAGGAAGTTGAAGATCGGCATCTTCATGAGCGGCTGTACGTGCAGGATGTCCTTGACATATCTTTCCAAGTCGAGTCGGCGCTGTTCGATCACGCTGTGGGATTTGCCGCGAAAGTAATGCTTCTTGGGGAAGGGTAGGTTGCGCACACTTGCGTTGGCCTTCTTCATGCGGTCATGGAAGTCGCGAAAGTCCGAGTACCGCTTCTCAATCACCCACCGCAGACCACTCACGAGTCGCACCTCCAGCGCGAACACGGTGTGCGTACTCTTGTCGTCTTCGACCTCCTTGATCCCGTCCGCGGGCAACGTCACCGCCTGGATCTCGACTTGCAAACTCGTCGACACGAGCCCGAACGATGGCGGCGGACCCATCGACGACTGCAGCGAATGCTTGCGGTCCACAGAACTCGCGGTCACGGACCGATTGAACGAAGGAGGCCCGCCGCTCTTGGCAGACGAGTCCCACGAGTGCAGTTCGTGTGCGCTGTACGTGCGCTTCTTGTCCAGCGGTTGGTCGGTCGTCGCGTTGTGAGGAGAAGACGGGTCTGACAGCAGCCCCGACCGACTGTGTGACGACGACACGCTGTCGGGGGACGAGATCGACGAACTCGAAGATGGGTCCGAGCTCGAGCTCACGGACGTCAAGCCTTCGCGAGCGGCCTCATGCGCCGGGATGACTAGTTTGAGAAGGGACGGCGGCCGTTCCTTCACGTCTGCGGTGGTGCCGTGGTCGGCTATGGAGGAGGAGGGTGCGTCTACTGCGCCGTTCATCTGATTTTTTCGCTCCGTGTTGCCATTAGTGTACGTCGTCGACGAGGACGTCGGCAGCATTGGAGACACCGACGATGAAGATACGGTGGTGCCGATGGGGGTGTCGGCCACGCTCTTCTCGCCATCCTTGTCGTTCTCGCTCATGCTATTTCCATGTTCATGGTCAATCGATATCAACGGACAACATCACGCGTTACCTTGCGCTCGCCGGCAGTCCGTCGAAAGCACCAGGAGCAGCTTAAGAGTCCAGGGACACACAAAGTGGCGAATGGTAGAATCCGGATAACCGTGCAAAAAAACATGGGCGTGAAAATCATTCATTTATTCATTTATTATAAATGAAAGTGGCTTTTCCTGGATTGTCGGCACTGATATGGAACTCGACGTCAAGATCGAATTCGCAACCCGTGTTACCATGTTGGCCACGTGGATAGTACAACCTGCTGGACATTTGGAGTGTCCAGGGTAGGTGCTACCGTTGTTGTTAAATGATCCATTATTTATTACGTACAGCATCGAGATGCTGCGTCGTGAAAGCACTTGATATTTGTATGCTGATGCGGACGTTTGTAACGTTCGTCATCTATTTTCAAATTGCAAGTTCAACACGCACACATATGATGACGTCGTTTTGGTGTTGTTGGGTAATACTGGATGTGCTAGGTTGCAGCAAACACGTTGGGCGCGGCGGCCACCAAGTCTTGCACGGCCGCCTGGACATTGTCCAGGCCCCAGTGGGAGTACTGCGACAGCTGCACCACACGCTTGACATAGGCCGCTTCGAAATCAAACGTGTCGGCTCCACTCGTCGCCCGTTTCCACGCCGCCACGATCGCCGTGGCCATGTTGTTGGCCGCGGCGTTGTTGTAGCCTTGACCGCGCCCCATTAGCGCCAGATTTGCCATCATTTGCGTCAAATCCAGCCCGAAATGCCCCGTCCGCGCCAGTTCCCAGTCGATTATCGCCACGCGCTTGTGGGAAACATCTACGAGGATGCTACTGGGCCAAAAGTCGCCAAACAAAAAGCTGTCGGTGGCGACGAGATCGCACGCTGCCGCTCGATCCAACCAGTCTTGCGGATGTGGGATGTCGAAGTCGATCATGCGAGTGAGGTTGCGCAGGTACATGCGATTCATGACGGGGGTGAGCGGCGAGTTGGCGTAGATGGACATGTCTGACACGACCAACGACTTGACGTCAGTCAAGAAGGTCAGCAGGCTCGATGCAATCCACTCGAAATCACTCGTAGAAAGGGGTTGGTCGACTTCTTGCTTGAGGAGGTCGAAGAGAGACACACCAGGCATGTCCTGCTCCAAAATGACATAGTTGGCCGCGTCCAGCGAGTAGGGAATCGGCGCCGACCACTTCGCCTGGGGAAACTGTGACGTGGCAGCTCGCAAGGCAATGTACTCCAATTCGCAGCGCTCTAGAGGATAATATGAATGGATGATGTGGGTATGGAAGAGTGTATACAGACAGTACTGTACCTTGAGGAAACGCAAACGCAGGATTCACACGCAATGATGGTGGAAAGTGCTTCAAGATGACCGTGGATGCGTCCGTCAGCGTTAGCCGCCACACGTAGTTGACCATGCCGCCTGACAACTGGATTGCAGTCGCCACGGTCGTGTTGCGAGCGCGGACGTAGCTGGAGTCGTTGGCGTATGCAAGGACGTCGGTCGCTTCGGCAAAGTTTGTCATGACGGTAGTTGTGAAGGAAGAAGGGAAAGGGAAAATGCCGCTACGCGCTTGACCTCACTACTCTCAGTACGGGTACAGTACCAACGGATGTTTCCGCGCATGTTCACCTGGCAGGTACCACTCACCAGATGTACGTCCGTTCAAATCCATCCATGATGCCATCATTCTGCGATGGCTACAAGAGTCATCATGCATGCCAAGGAGCGTAATCCAACGAAGTCTTCATGCGTCGGAAGGGGCACAGCCATCGATCGCGCAGGCATCGCAAAGGTGCGGCACAATCACGGATACCGTAACCGGATGCTGCAAAGTAACGGCTCCTTGAAACAAACATGTATGATTGACGGTGATCTTGAAGCATGCAACAGCCCGTAGGCGATAATGATCGCGTGACGGTACCCCAGAGCATTGAGACGATGCTCTTCTCGGTGGAAGTCACACAGAGCCTTCCGCTATCCCCTGACAAAGGAGGGAAGGCCGTACAACCACCATGCGCAGCATCATTGCCAGTGATGTACGAGTTCGTCATCTCGTTTGGCTTCCTCACGACGTGGACTGTACATCACCGATACTCGGAAGCTCGCGCGTTTCGCAAGGCGCTTCGCTCCATCGTGCACGACTCGTCTTCCCAATGCTGCAGTGGCGAGGCCGCGTTCTCGCGCGAGTTGGTCGCCGTCGTCGACACGGGGTTGCCATTATTGTCCCATCGGTTCTTCCATCTGTGGCAGTCCCGCGCCAACTTCATCAAGGCACGCGCCCAAGCATTGCAATCGTTTGTCGAGTCTCTACTGAACGCCCACGCGCGATGCATCATGGAATGCGCGCATGTTTCCCGTCAAAGTTGTTGCGACGTTGTTCGGCATCTTCACACGTTCCTATCCATGGACAAGGACCCGTCCATTCTGCAAAACATCGGTGGCTACCTCCAGCCACCTCCTGTACCCACCGCCATCCCCCCAGTCAGCATCGCTGTCGACTCCATCGCATCAGACTCGACGGAGGCCACTCAAGGCACTAGTGTCGTGTCCACCATACTCTAACGCGATCGATTCGTTTATAACATACTGCACTTCTTGCTCCATCAACCATATATTTCTTGATTTGTACGAGCATCTCCACTCGTAACCCCAATCTCCCACGCGATTACTACTATTTACTGTAATACTAATACTATTATTAATAATAGTACGGAGTAATATTACTTGAAGTAATACAGGTGGTTTCGTAATACTAGTAGCTATTATTAATAATACTTTGAAGCATTATGAATATTTACTCGAAGTACAAGTTAGTATATTGGTTCATTTAAAAAAATGCAACAGGATGATAAACATTTTCACTGTGTTCCTCATACTATTAATAGTACTTTTTACTACTATTGTGCTTTGCACCTTTTTTGGCAATTCCAGGGTTAAATTCATTGTTTAAAAATTTCTCAGACTTAAATAATGTCTAAAGTAACTTGAATAACGGTTGGGTGCGTTGTTTAAAGTTACTTCATCTAATGCGATGATTGGTTGGTTGAAGGTGGTTTTACTGGCACTTTCGTAAAACAAGTTGTTTGCCGTTTTCA